GAATCAGGTCACACAGGCAGTGATGCCAAAACAGTGAAGAAGCAACTTGATGTTGTGGATGAGGACATTCCGGGGTGAACCTGTGGGTGGAGTTCCGCTTTATGTGAGAAGAGCTTCTGAGAGCCATTCTGGGCTGACTAGCTGACTCCTGTCACAGTAGGTACCCTGTGTCCTTTATTCAGCCCTGTTGCTATTCTTCGCAGGATACTAAAACCTGACTGTTTTCTCCTTGAGTCAACTATGTCAGCTAGACCAAAATTCCGGGCTGGAGAAAGTTGGGGGCAACACTGGCAAACTAATTTTGATATTTAAAGAGATGAAAAGCATGGGATAGTGTAGCACATCACATAGCCTATGGGGGCAGAAGGGGTAGTTCAGTCAGTTTTCCAGAGGTAGCTAAATTGAATTTTCAAAGAGGAGGAGCACTTAGTGGGACCTTGCTACGGATAATAATGCTTCTGTTCCTTTCCGCCAGACAGAAATGCAGGGCTTCAAACATCAACCCCAGAACTGCTGAACCGGATCTGTAAGATTCCTGGGTGCTTTATACACAGCGAAGTTTGAGATGTCCTGAGCTAGGAAAAAGGTGAAAAGAGGGAAATATGCAGAAATAGTAGCAGGTAATATGCAGAAACAATAGCAGGCACATTTAGCATTATCAGGGACCAGATCCTCAAAAGGACATACTTTACTCAGGAATTCAGAGGTCTCGTGAATAGGTTGGGAGGCTCCTGGATTATTTTGAACAACAAAATATTATAAACAAAACTTAATTTTAGATACACGACATATGTAAAAATCACTGACTTTTTAAAAGTATATATATATATATATATATGTATATATATATATATGTACATGATACAACTCTGAACAACAGTTAATATTATTGAAGAGATACTTTATCTCCAAACACCTAAAGAGTCAACTAAACAAATGCTAAAATAACAAGGTTTATTTAAGAAGCCATTTACATTATAAACATATAGGTAAAATTGAAAAAATCCTAAATAAGGTTTAAGAAAATAAGATAGAATAAAACATACCAAATTGTAGTAACACAAGTATTAAACACTAGAAGTAAACTTTAGGTGAAATACTCAGGATATATAACCAAAAAAAAATTAAATTTTACTGAGACATACGAAACATAAATAAATGGAGACATACGCCATGTCCCTGGATGGAAAGTCTTGATGTTGTAAAAATATAGAAGTTTTCACATTGGAATTATGAGAGCAATAGTCTCAATTGGATACACTAGTAACCTGAAGATCTAATCTTAAATGTGTCATGAAAAAAGTGAGCATATTTAAGAAACTTTTAAAAATTAATCCTATAAAGGAAGAAAATAAACTGTCAGAAATTAAAATGTATGTTTAACCTTTTTTTTTTTTTTTTTTTTTTTTTTGGCGCAGGGTCTTAGTGACTAAATGCAGGGCCTTGTTCATACTAAGCATGCCCCTGACCGCTGAACTATACCTTCAACCCCTCAATCCCTTGTAAAAGAATAAGACTTTTTTTTTGGGGGGGTATCTGAGCCGAGTCTTGAGGTGTTATGCAGGATGGTCCCAACATGCTTCCCACTTCAGCCTCACATGTACCAGTAGTTAGGATTACAGGTATGTACCACCATACTCAGCTTAAAGTGAATTTTTAAAAACAATTTTCATGTCCTGTAATCATGACCAGAAATAGGCCTATTCATGCAAGTACTCCAAACACCTGTAAAATAGTAATCTTTAAAAATAGAAAAATATAAATTATTTGATAATCAGTATGGGAAAAGTATCTATTATCAAAATAACTAGGTTCCTTGTTTTAAAAGAGTACACTATAATAAATCCATATGTAGTAAATATTTTAATTTTAGAAATTAAATCATAAAATATAGATAAATAAGATCACCACTTTTTTTTTCAGCTTTAACTGAGTTTATTGGTACATTTTAGGTATACAGTACAGTTACATTCATTGTTGGGGTCTTGTACCTCTACATGACAAGACTTGATTCTCATTTTTTCCCCTTACCCCTGCCCTCTTAAAAAAAAAAAAAAGCATTTCATGTAAACATGAAAATGTAGACTCTATAGAAAGGAGCTACATCATTATATAAATATTTTTTATATCTGTCAGTCAAAATCACATGAAACAAAGTCTAAAATTAAGCTTCTATTTCTGGGACATACCAAAAGTCAATATTATTAATAAGATCACTACCACAATAAATAAGAAAGACCATTAAGAAAGACAATGAATTGATTTATAAAGGATAGATACAACAGGTAGATAAATAAAAGCTTAAAGTCACTAGCTAGGAAATGAAAATCAAACAATGAAATTCTATTTTCAATTTATAAAACTACTGAATTGGTAGAAAGTTTGGGGAAAGCAAATCTTTCAAAGCTGCTTGTGTTACACACACTGTTACCTTTCTTTTTGTGTTAAGTTCATTATGTTTGAAACATTATTTCCAGGAATCAATTTGAAACACATAAATAAAAATAGGGAAAAGAATGCATATATGAAATGTTCTTTCTAGATTTGTTTAAACATCAAGAAGAAGCTATATCAGGTCAAAATAATTTATTAATTAATTTGGCCTTAAATCCTTGACTGTATCAGAAAAAAATCTTGAAACTATTGGTAGAAGATGAGACAGTGAAAACATTTTTAAAATCTACTCTTGAACAAAGGAAGTCAATAGACAATATTTGTTGTTTTGTTTCTAATATTTAAAATACAGAAAAATAATGTTAATATATTTTTATAATTTTTAAATAACCAACTGCAGAGTAACATTTAGATTGCTAGAGAAGTAGTAGTTACTCCCATATCAAATTGCTGACCAAAAGTAAAAATATGTATAGCATGTAAAAGAATAAAAGGAAGACATAAAAAATTTAATACACAATAAATAATACAGTAGAAGTAAAACCAAGCATAAGATATGTGAATTAAACTTTTAAAATAATAGACAATATATTATGGCTTGTTTCTAGATGTTCCTCTGAAGCCTCATGAAGTAAAGGTGTGGCTTTTCAGAGGTGGCTGGATCTAGAGTGTGTGATGCTGGGATTAAGTGTGTGTGATCATTGAATTAGACCACTGATTAGTTTGGCATAGTTCTGGGTAAGACTGATGCTGTCCCTTCCTGGGCGTGAGTGCTACTTGCCCTAAGGGTAAGCAGCCTGAATAAAATATAAGGAGTAGAAAGAGGGCTAGTGTCACTGCTTGTAGCTTGCTGCTTGTTGCCTTCTACCTCCTGCATGCTGTGAACTGTTTCTCCTCTGCAATACCCTTCTGCCAGGCCACCCTGCCTTGGAGCCAGCCAACTATGAACTGAAACCTTCATAAACTATGAGCCAAATAAACTTTTCCTCCTTTAACTTTGAATGTCGGGTATTATTTGTCTCAGAAATTAGAGAAAAGGAACTAAGACACAACCTTTTAGACAAAAACAGTATCAAATTTCCTACTGTTAGTGAATATCTAACTTTAAACAAAAACTAAAACTTAGAAAAAAATGAGAACCAAGACCTGTCATGTAAAGGTACAAGATCCCAATAATGAATGTAATTGTACTATATACCTTAAATGTACCACTAAGCTCAATTAATAAAAAAAAGAAAAAAAAAATTAAAAGAAGCAAAGATATTTCAAGAAAACACAATCAATAAAGGAAGAAGTAATGGCAATATTTTTTTTTAATTGAGTTTATTGGTACATTTAGGGATACAGTACAGTTACATTCATTGTTGGGATCATGTACCTTTACATGGCAAGTCTTGATTCTCATTTTTTTCCCCTTACCTCTGCCCTCCCTTCACCCCCTCCTCCCCTCCCCATCTACAAACACTTTATTTTCATCTTTTCATTCTCTCACATTTTTTTCTTTTCCCTTTTTGTTCTTCCCCTACGTATCACACCTTCCCTACATCTTTAGCTCCTTTCCTCCCATTTCTAAATGTCAGTAATCTTATTAGAATCTTATGCATTGTTGCAGAATATTCACACCAGGGAAACTATTCGGTATTTACACATGTGGGACTTATTTATTTCACTTAGGAGTATATCTTCAATATGTATCCATTTTCCTATGAATGAATCTATTCTCTCGCTCTTTATGGCTGAGTAATATTCCATTTTATAGAAAAACCACAACTTCTTTATCCAGTTTCCAACGGATGGGCAAATAGGTTGTTTCCAAGATTTAGCTATTACAAACTGTGCCGCTATAAACATGGGTGCACATACTTCTCTGTGATATGATTCTTTTAGTTCTCTTGGAAAGATACCCAACAGAGGGATGGCTGGGTCAAATGGAACCTCCAGTCCAAGCTCTTTGAGGTATCTCCATATTGATTTCCATAGTGGTTGCACTAGTCTGCACTCCCACCAACAATGGAGGAGGGTTCCTTTCTCCCCACAACCCCGCCAACATTTGTTATTGTGTGATTTCTTGATAGCAGCCATTCTTTGTGGGGTGAGGTGGAATCTCAGTGTTGTTTTCATCTGCATCTCTCGAATGACCAGTGATGTGGAACATTTTTTCATATATTTTCTTGCTGCTTTCACTTCTTTGTATGAGAAATGTCTGTTCATTTCGGATGCCCATTTTTGGATCGGGTCTTTATATTTGGGGGGACTGATTGTTTTGAGTTCTTTATATATCCTTGATAATAGTCCTTTGTCTGAGGTACAGCTGGTAAAAATTTTTTCCCACATTGTAGATTGTCTCTTAGTTCTGCTAATGGTTTCTTTTGAAGTACAGAAGCTTTTTAGTAAGATGAGATCCCAGTTGTTGATTCTTTCTGCTAGTTCCCGTGCTACTGAGGATTTGTTCATAAAGTCTTTTCCTATACCAATGTCTTCCAGAGTTCTGCCTAACTTACTTTCCAGCAAGTTTAATGTTTCTGTTTTAATATTTAGATCTTTAATCCATTTGGATTTTAATTTAGAACTATATTGAAGAGAAGTGGCGATCGTGGGGGCAATATTAATATTAAAATAAATTTCAAAGAAAAGCTAGTAATTATAGTAATAATTTTAAATATCAAATCTATACAACATAAAGATATAATGTAAGGTAATATTACAGTAAATTCTACAACTAAAGGGTTTTAGTGGAAACAATTCACAAAAATGCAGTTATACAGGAAGATTTTTAATTATATTATTTTCAAACTGAGAACAGGCTACATCTTCCATACACAAATGTGATTGATCTAAAAACTGAAAAAAACAAGTTCAAATGAAAATATCCTAACATACAGAAATTTTAAAGTACTTTCTAAGCCAATAGGAATTTTGAGTGAAATAGACAATGAAGTACACATTTTAAAAAATAAGCAACATCATTGCTACTGCAGCATACAAATACAAACCATAAACAAAGCTGAATGTTGGCACAAATTGATGTTTTCATTACTATGCTAGAGTACACAGTCACAGCCTACAAATCTATGGTAAAGTCCTTCTTGCTACCTCACAAGTTGGTAGATGGTATCATCTCAGAAGTGTCTGTAAGAGGGGGAAATCACATGAACATGTGATTCCAGAGATATTCATTGGCCAGAACTGCGTTTTTGTAACAATCCAGTCTCAGAGGAACCAACTGGGGTTCCTTGAGAACTACATGAATCACACAGAGGACTCCTAAACTTTTAGCACATGAAATTCGGGATTCAATCCAAATCATATCCAAGTCACATCACATGTGATCCTGTTTTTGTTTGCTGAACTCAAATTGAGTACTTTCGTGATATTAAAGAAATTTAGAATAGTGAGTTCATTATGTACGGATTCCCAGAAAAGCACACAGGACATGTGAGTGAACTTCATCCTGATTTTTTAGAGTAAACACACAAAGGCGTTGCTCAAAATCAAGAGATCAAGAAAGTAAACATGAGCGTGCTTTTTGAAGTTATGAAAGTGACCATCAGAAAAACCCAAAAACCAAGCTAGTTAGAAATTGTTTCTTTTGCGGAATAAAAATGAATACGGAGTAGAGGATTGTCTTCTCTTACTTTAAATTATTTTGTATCACTTCATTTTTATTAGCCATACCTTTTGGTGGCTTTACTGAAAACCAGAGATTTAGGATATGCATTAATATAGGCAAAGTAAAACTGTACGTCTCTTGTAAATCTCAGTTTAAAGCTTGGCTCTACCAAATTTTAGAATTTGTTGGGTTTGCACAAATCCATCAAACTCTCTATGCCTTAGTTGCTGATTCTGAAAATACCAGTAATAATATTATACCAGAGATGACGTTGATCTTTGAAGTTGAGAATGTCTAAAGCACTCCGCATGTACAGAGTATGTACATTTATTTTAAAAATTATGTTGCATTTGTTAGTTTAAAAGTTATTTTTAAATGACAATTATTTTCAAGAATATTCTATGCAATTCCTTACATTTCCCTTTATGAACCAGTGTAGGTATGCAACATGTAAGTGAACACTTCCTAAGTTCCATTGGTCACAAAGGTTCTGCTAGCGGTCTTTGGAGGTTTTAGTGGAGGTTTAGTTTTTATGACCTGCTTTGGAAACACAGTGATATAATGGAAGGACCAGTATTGGTTTGCCTGTCTCCATGCTGGGCAGGTCATTTCATCCAGGTGAAGTGACTCCATCAATAAAGTGACATCACTGGAGCTGTACCTGTCTGAAGGTTGGAGTGAATCATTTGAGGTGCTGGCTGCCCCTAGGGACCTTGGATGTAGAATAAGGAATAATGCGGCTCTTTAAATCTGGAGCAATTGTGGGTCCCACACATCCATCCAGGCCTTGCATCTGCTGTTTGTTCCTGGACTGAGGAAATGTTTTGACTTCCAAAATGAGGTTTGGTTTCTTTGAAAGAAAATTAATCATGCTCTTTCTGAGGCATTAAAAACTCCGCTTACCTCAGTTAGATGAGTTTACTTATCTACAATATCAGGGTTCCTTTTAGTAAATTCAATTCAATTTAGTAATGATGCCCTCTTATTCCGTACAGCTGAGTGCAGTATCTATAATTCATGTATCGAATTAATAGTTATAAATAAAGACATGCTTCCTTTTAATTGCCATTTAGTAATTTCATAAAAGAGACCACCATTTAATCATCTCCTATGCTGATGTGTATTTTTCAAGTTATTCAAGATTGAATTGAATGTAATTCTGTTTAGAAACATACTTGCAAAGTGGTTATTTTTCAGGATGTTGCTACAAAAAGCTTTGAAAAATAAAGAGGATGTGGGAGATAGAATGAGGAATTTGAATTTTAATTATATCTCTACAAAGAAAACTCCTGACTAGTATACTCACTCACCCATTCAGTAAATATTTTTATGGGTAAGACTGATACAGACAAGACAGAGAGGCTTCCTGCTCCCAGCCAGCAGGGTAGCATCAGGGTTGAACTAGGCCTGCTAGAAACAAAAACTCATCTGTTTTCATTTTCAGCAAGAGCAAAGTATAAAACAATTGAGTATCCCCCACGCAAGCAAAATGACGAAGTAAATATATATTTAAAGGAAATTTCCTATTTTCTCCATTCTCTAACTTTCCCTTTGAATATTTTTTCATTCATTTTTTTCAGTATCTAAAGGGAAAGTTAAAAGACTGTAAACCATTTTGTTTATACTATTCAGTTAGGTTAATACATTTTGAGCTGAACCATCTTGCTGAACGTAGGCTGCAAGAAATGGCTAACAGGCTCCTTTGTTGAGAAAGTCCTGTTTATGTGGGGTTTTTTGTTCTAAAGGGTACTAGGAATTGTGTTTCAATTATCAGTCTGCACAATTCTAAAGTATTGTTCTTGATCATCTGACTTAATTTTTAAATAAAATGCTTTCAATTATCCACTAAAATTCTGGTATTTTGTACTCTTAAGGCCACAACGTTTGAAGAAAAGAATATACTAAGTAAATTATTTCTGTGGTTCTTAATAGTTGTTGACTATCTGCATGGTGTTGAAATACATAGATGACTACCAAAGCAAAGTGCTGTAATGAAATCAAGGATTTCAGAGACTACAGTGTACTTGGTATTGCTACATTGGATCAGGCTCACGTGGTGGAAACACTTTTAGATTTAAACCTGGGTTTAATTATGGCTATGCATTTCCAAGGGTAAGCAATGTGTATAATCTCTCTTGTTTCAGCTGAATAATTTGTAAAATGAAAATTCTGTCACCAAGAATGTGGTGAAGATTAAATAGTATAGTTTTTAGAGCAGTGGGTATATGATAAAATGGTAGATCTCTTTCTGGACTTAAAAATCTTTTTGGTATACAGGCTCCTCCTCCTCTGCAGTCCAGGCACCTGGTGACTACACTTACACTGGAATTCCCTTCGGTCTTCCTTTCCCAGCCCGACTTTCACTTCCACTTGGCTTTCTCTCTCGACTGAACAAGACTTAAAGCATGTAGACAGCAATGGACAGAAAGCTGGCAGTAACTGAATAGTACGCCTCACGTCTCATTGGGTGTTCCCTACCTTAAATCTAATTTTCTGAGATGGATTGGACTGGTCTTTAAAGCTATGGTAGACAAATAAAAATATAGTACTCAATAGACCTGAGGATGGCAAAACACTGACCCTGTGAACCCTGGCCAGAGGAAGCCAAGAAAATAAGAAGCCAGGGAAGAAGAAACATCTGGACTGAATTTTCCAGTTGTGGAGAAACAGAGTTTGTCCATCAGGCAGTCCCAGAGGCAGCTTCCAGTCCAGGAATTACCAGGCCCTGTGATGGGTGGCAGGTGGATATCAAAAACAAGGCACCCAGCATCACCACACTCAATCCATTGCTCTCCTGTCCTGTTATAAAACCAAAGTTTACTGGACATTTTCAGAAATGCAACCTCCACATAGGATGATAAAACATCAAAATTAATGTTATTACTTTACAGCACTGGTCACTGATAGCATCACACACACAAAAAGCACAGGTAAATGGTTAGAAGAGGAACTAATAATAATCCAAGAATTATAATTCCCCAAGATTACTCTGCCACAACACATTTCTATATTAATTACAAATTTCAAAAAAAAAGAGGAGCTTAAAAATGAAATCTCCCTCTCCATGCTCTGATTCGATCGTGACATTATCATTGACGGGCTACTTGCAGGAGCCCAAAATGTGACTTAATTTTTAACAGTCTTCTATCACTCTAGAGAAAGTAACTTAGTTTAGAAATCACTCCATATATCACCATTAGACAATAGAGACAATTGTTGTACAAGGAATAAAGCTAATATAGCAATGGACAAAAGGCAAAATATAGCAGAATCAGTAAACAATACAAAACATTCATATATTAGTTAAAAGATTTATAACTAGGTTTATCATCTGCTTCTTCTGATATATGTTCAATGAGTTCCATTATCAGGTATGTTATCCAATGCCTACTGTCAAAAACAAAATAAAATTGTTTTGAAGATACAAAGAAATTACCTACTGAAAACCCTTTTTGATTCAACTTCATTTATTTGCAGAATTTCAGCATATTAGAAAACGTGGCTTCCAATCTTTACTTTCTAAAGTCGGGTTTCCTTGCCCGGCCAATGGCTGGGATGTAGCAAATGATCACTCGTAGCACCGTTCTCTTTTTTGAATCTTGTAGAAACCATTGTTCTGTCTCTTTTGGTTATGAAGCTTCTAGGTTCAGAAACATAACTTTTCTTTAAAGTCAAAAGTACCGCAATGCTTAGGAAAATGGACATTGTGCCCAGAATCATAGTGAGTCCTAGATATATGTATCTAAAAGAGGGAAAAAAATCTCAGTCATAATTATTTCTACTGTTCAACCTAAAAATAAAATGTAAAAGGTAGGGAACAGTACAATTTTATGGCTGTTCTGAAGGATGGAGATTTAGAATGGAATGGCGCCTCAAGAAGGTCCTTCTGTAAACTCTCGTAGGCCACTGAAGGCAGTTTCTTAGTAGAAGCAATTTCTTAGTAGAACCATCATTTTTCCCTCACTATCCTTTTTGTAAATGAGTCCCTTAGACCAAATGACAGTTACCCAGAGCAGACCCAGTGCTGTCCCAGTGTAACTTTAAGCAGGCCCTTTCACTCCCAAGTGTCCCGGTTTGAGTGAGACATTATGAGATTACCTCATCCCTTGACATTGCTTGGATTCACTCTATGGAAAAACTGCAAGAAGCGATACTAAGGGGAATCAGACCATTCAGTAAAATGAAATGATACCAGAATAAACTAGAGATGTAAACCAATTGTTTCCACAAGAAAGTTTTAGTCCTGTGTACCAAAAATGCTAAGGTGTGGAAGGACCGGTTGAATGTCTCACTCTGGTCATTCCACCTCTCTGACTGAATGACACTGTTTCCACATTAAAGTGAATACAGCTTTCCTAAATGTGAGTAAAGCTCAAATTACACTCACAGATCCGGTCCTTTTTAAAGACTAAAATAAATTTCACACATAACATCAAAGCGCATTAATCAAGCAAACCTATTTGCGATGCTCTGCCCAATTCACATGCTACTTAGATGGTTCCACACCAAGTTTTTTTTTTTTTCTAAAACAATGCTCAGCTTGAAAGTCTCTTTTTAAAAATCCTTGTTTTTAAGCCATTGAAGCATTTCTTTAAGCAACAAGGGGACTAAATGTTTGATGAACTGAACTGAATGATACCATAGTAAAAAAAGCCTTGTTCCCTACCCCCATATACACTCAGTCACACAGAGAAAACCTTTTACTTTTATGCATTTCAAGTACTGGAATAATTGAACATCAGTTTGGCAATAAGAGCCAGACAGATTCAGAGCCAAATCCAACTCTTGCCCAGGGGGATTATGTCTGACGTAAATGGTATAGTTTGGCTTAGCTTGAAAAAGAATAGACTTAAACTCAAAATGTGACCCAAATTTAAATGTTTCTCAGTTTCAGAGAATTACTTGGGTGCATAAACTTTCAAAATCTTACTCGGTTCTGCACCTTTCATCATATTTTTAAAATGATCACTCAGTTAAGATGGAAATCAATTTTAACAACGGAGAAAAACTGAAATATCTAGCCATAAAATCAAATGATAAATTTATTCTATGAAAGAGATCACACTTTTTATTAGACTGTTCTTTCTCTTCCAAGCAGTTGGACTACATAGGGAATATTAATGGAGGGTACTGAATGAAATCAGGATTTTGTAGAAGGAAGACGTGGGAATGCATTTTATATGATACCTGAAAGCATGTGAATCATATAATCTGCAGGAACCTCTGCTTCCACACCTTTTAAATCCCCATTTAAGGCAAGAAGTGTCGATCAAAACTCCAAAATATACTGGAGCTGGGATTCCTGCTGTAGGAAAAAACAAACAATTGCTACTAAAATATGTGTGTGTGTGTGTGTGTGTATAATTTTTGGTTATGAATAATTACATGGAACTACTTACTTCTACTTCAGTAATTGCTGTCTGGGAGATGAAAAGTCATCAATTACATGCTGATATCTATAACTCCCCTCTCTAGTTCAGTCTTCTCAAAAGCTGTACTCATCAATAACTGCTCTTTCATGAACATCCAGAAGCGTGGCTCCCAGGTACTTCAAATAATTTTTCTCCCTAGACCAGTCTCTTCATTAGCCTCTACCCACTTGCCAAAGGTACAAACTTGGGAGTCCTCTGTGATCTCTCTCTCTCTCTCTCTCTCTCTCTCTGTTCTCTCTCTCTCCTCTGATCATGACCACATTTAGTGCATCTCTAACCATGCCAATTCTACCTCCTGTTTATATCGGAAACACATTCCTTTCTTTCCATTCCTCTACTTTAAATTTAAAGAAAGACCCAACTCATGGTTCTTCTCCTTCCTCAGTCTTCTCCAATCAACTTATTGATGGACATTAAATCACTCAATTACATAAATAATGTCCCAAGACTCTATTTCTCAAGAAGAGCAGTCAACTGAACATTGGGCTCCATTTATATTTCTGGCTTCATCTTGGACAACCTTTATTATCTTATGTTTCAAATTCTAATATTTGACACCTTTCAGCATTTAGAATGTTTTTTCCTCTTGCCTGAATGACTGGTGGTTTTCTACATTTGAAACGCTTTCCCCTTCTTTCCTTCCTCTTTTCAATACGCATTCATGTGATTCTCAGTTTATATGTTTTCCTTCAAGAAAGACTATTCTGATGATCGAAATTGTGGCAATTACTTTCATTTCTTATGTCATATCACTTACACTTCTCTCTAAATCTTTAGCACTCCTGCAACGACTTGATTAATTGCCTTTTCTGCTAGATTATGACCTATACAGGGGTGGGAAATATGTTTTTCTTATTTATGCTCTAAACTGTAATGGATTCTCAACAGAGGTTTATTAGAACTTAATACTTTTGCAAAGAAAAGAGATATATTTCCTTTAAATATGTAAGCAAAAAGTGTTCTGAATTGATTATAATCTGATCACAACTCTTACGATATTTTTCAAACTGTTGGTCCCTTAACGTTTCTTATTTGGTCTACATAGGTTCTGACTTCTTAATGAATAGATAATAAGTAAAAGCCAGGACATTCTATGAAAACTCACAGCTATCTGCATTCTCTTAAAAGCTGCATGACCTGGCAGTTGAATGTAGCAGTGGGCTGGTATTGAGGACCAACTTTCCGTATCTCATTCCCCGTCCTCTGTGTCCAGAGCTTAGTCTCGGCACCTAACAGATTGCTGTCTCCTTCACTCATTTCTCTCAATGTGTAGAGGACTTCTGGATCAGGTTTGAATCTCTTTTATGTATCTTTTCATCTGTTATAGCATTGCTTTGTATGATTATGTAAAATAACACACTCTTGCCAAATCTTTTAAATCAAAGAATAACTCTGACACCTCCAAGTTAATGAGATAACCCATTTGCTCTTGGATAATGAAGATCTACCTAAATTTTGTTGACACAAATTTTGTGTGATGATGGATTCAATTCAGAAACATCAACAGTTGCTCAAACTTGGAGGTGAAACATTTCCATAATCCCAAAGTCTTAGTATCATGAGTTAGCTAGCAATTACAACTGACTTTTAAAATGAAGAATATTGGTGGACACTACTTTGCCAAGAGTCCAAATTTAATCTTCAATGATGATACAAAGTGTATCATAGCACCTGTGCAGTACAGGGGGTGATCAAAACACACAATGAATGTATAAATTTAAAAAATTATGAGGATAAAAAATATTGACATAAATTTCCCTCAAAATATTCCCCTTTCTTCTAACACAATTATCCCATCATTTCCAACTTTCTAAAGCCATTCAGGAAGTCCTCTTTTATGTCTTCACAAGATATAAAAAAAAATATGGTGAATGCTGCTGCTAAGAAGGGAAAAGTAGGCTCATAAAAATATTATTGTAGCATAGGAAAATGGATACATATTGAAGATATACTCCTAAGTGAAATAAATGTCACACATGTGTAAATACCGAATAGTTTCCCTGGTGTGAATAATCTGCAATAATACATAAGATCCTAATAAGATTTTACATATTGTAGCATAGGAAAATGGATACATATTGAAGATATACTCCTAAGTGAAATAAATGTCACACATGTGTAAATACCGAATAGTTTCCCTGGTGTGAATAATCTGCAATAATACATAAGATCCTAATAAGATTACTGACATGGTGAAATGGGAAGAAAGGAGCTAAAGGTGTAGGGAAGGTGTGATGGGTAGGGGAAGGGTAATAAGGGAAAAGAAAAAATGTGAGATAATGAAAAGATGGAAATAAAGTGTTTGTAGATGGGGAGGGGAGGAGGAGGTGAAGGGAGGGCAGGGGTAAGGGGAAAAAATGAGAATCAAGACCTGTCATGTAAAGGTACAAGATCCCAACAATGAATTTAACTGCACTGTATCCCTAAAATGTACCAATAAACTCAATTAAAGCTGAAAAAAAATATTATTGTAGGTCCCCATCCACCTTATTCACCGAATTTGACACCGTGACTTTTCCTTCTTTCCCAAAATAAAAAAGACCATGAAAGATTAACATTTTTAATTGATTTGGGACATCCCGGAAGCCACAACTAAAATACAACACAGCTAAAAGCACTTATGAAAGAGCACTTCCAGAAGTGCTTCGGTGGCAAGAATGATGGCATGAACTGTTAGATTTCCCTTGCCTTAAAATGGCCATTACTCCCCTTCCCATAATGCTCTGCTCCTCACCTAAAAAGAAGGTTTCTTCCACCTACCAAAGGACAGCCTTCTTTTTCCCATGATGCCTCTTCTCCCCCCAAAAAGTAAACAGCCACTTGCTACCTCCAAGTCACCAGTAATGTCACAAGCCCCTCCTAGTGCTGTCACAAGCTCCTCCAATCCCTTAATATTACCTCACTTAACTCCACCCAAGCTCCTATAAGCCCCACCCCAGTCCTATAAAAGAAGCTCTCTGTTCTGCCATATTGCTCTCTCTCCTCTGATCAGAGACAACCCAGCAGATCGTCCCTACAATAAAGGCTTGTAGTGGTTCTTGTCTGGTCTTGGTTTTCAGCCCTTTCTAACCTGAAATGATCCAGTTCAAAGTGAAGGGACGTATTCTGAGGGGGGATTAATGGCAATGTATTTTTGTTGTAATAAAATTTTTAATTTATACATTCAGTATATTTTTAAAACATATCTTCATTCTCACCAAAAGCATCTTACCTGCTTTCTATCAAAAGCAAGCAACCAGATAAATCCAAATGATAGAATATTATATAAAATATCTGGCTTTGCCTCTTTTCAAAAATGATAAGGGATTGTTGGAGAGCAAATAAAAAAGGTAATTAAATGCAGTATCTGGCCCTTGCTTGACCCTGGATTGAAAGAGGGAAATGCTATCAAAGATATTGTTATAGTGAAAGAAATTTAATTGTGGAATATAGAATAGATGGAGTATCCTACCATTGTTAAATTTCTTGAGTATTGTAGAACAGGACAATGTTCTTGGTCTTATAGAAGAATATAAATTGAAGTCTTTAGCAGTTAAGTGGCAGATCACTACTTATTATCAAATGGTTTGGCAAATATTTATATGTTAAGAGAAAAAGAAGATAGATTTTTTTTATATTTTTGATACATCTGATAAGTTCAAGGGAAGTTATATCGGTATTCACTGTAATTTTTTAAAATTTTCTGTAAATTTGAAATTTATCACCATAAATAATTGGAAGAGAAAGAGGAGAGGCACCTATAGATTAGAAGACTTTTAAGAGATTTATCACCTAAATATAATGAGTAGACTGTTGGTCCTTGATTAAAGCAAACACACATAAGTAAATACCATATAATTAAAAAATTGAATGTTAATTGGATATTTGCCAATCTCAAGGAATTATTTTAAAGCATGACTATTAAGTTAAAATAAGTTATTATGTTTTTAAAGTTCATAGTAATAATTTTATGGAAGAAATGCAATAATCTGATGCCTTAAATAAGTCAGTGAGAAAAGTAGAGAGATGTCCTAAGTTAGGTTGTGTGCTGATAATTGCTGAAATAGGGTTTGGAATGTGGGGAATATGTCTGAATTATTTTAAAGGCAATCTCAAACATTGTGTCACTTCATTTATATTTACTTCAGCCTGCATGTCTGATGTCATTTTAAAAAACATAATCCCTATGCCTTTCTCATATCTAATACATTTTACAGTTTGTTAATATTATCTAAACTCTAGCACATATTCAGTCGTTTCTGTCTCCAAAGCATCTATCTTTTTGCAGTTGGTTTGTTCTTATTAGAATCCAAATGATGTAAACACATTGCATTGATTGATAACTCTTCATACTCTTCATATCCATACCCACCCCCATATCTCTTATGCTACTGCTATTGGAGAAAGACATTTTATCATGTATAATGTGCCACACCCTTGCCTTGTCTAGTTGCTTCTTCATAATGTAGTTTAATTTGTTTCCTTAGCCTCCATGATTCCTATAGCCTAGAGTTAGATCTTGATACACTCGGGTTCAACTTATGTTAAGCAGGGATAAAATAAGGTAGATGTGTACACTTCAATTGTGTTCCACTCAGAAGAAACATGCCCTCTGGGTGCCACTCTCTGCAATGCACAGATGGATCTGAGGATTGGGCTATAGCAGCTAAATCTCTCACAGGATGCTCTTCATCAACTGTCACCTAAAGCTTTTAGCAACTGCTGATGAATATGTAAGATAGGGATTGTTTTGGCATACAGTGTCTCAATGTCTTCCAAACCTAGTTTGCTCATAGGTGGAGCTTTGGGAAGTGGCTGGATCATGGGTGTACGATACTGGGTTAATCCACTGTTTGGTTTTGCACAGTTCTGGTTACCATTGATGGATTTACTGAAGAAGGAAGACCACCCTGGGTGTGAGTGGTACCAACCATTAGGCTTGTAGCATGGATGAAATAAAAAGGAAAAAAATAAGGGTGTCTCACTGCTTCCTTCCTACACTGCCATGGTCTGTTTCTCCTCTGTGACACCCCTCTACCATCCAACCTGCACTGGACCCTGTCAACTGTGGACTAAAACCTCTACAAACTGTGCGCTAAAAATTTTCCTACTAAACTTGTGGGTATAAGGTATTTTGTCCTAGCAATGAGAAAGTACAACAGAATTTTTTTGTTGTTATTTAATTCTATTCCTCATATATGTATTATTTGGGGTTTTTAAAATAAAAGATTCCTTTTCATTGACCATTTGGTTAACTTTAAACAGAGGTAATAGAAGACTGAAAGAATAACTATTGATATTTTTGCTTTATTAATCAATTTTAAAAATGAGTTTTTATGACAGTATTCTTAGAATTTTTAAAGGTTCATGATATTTAAATGTTTCAAAGCACTATTATATTTTTGTATATATTCAATGTGTTTCAATAAACTATAGTCATTTTATTTATCCTATCTAGTTTTAATTTTATTCACTTTATGAGAGAGTTTGAGTATCTTTTTTTTTTTTTGTACCAGGGATTGAACTTGGGTCCTTGCACTTGCGAGGCAGGCACTGGAACCACTGAGCTAAATCCCTGGCCCTGAGTATCTTTTCTTATACTTAAAGGCATTTACATTTATATTTTCATAACATAGCATCTCATATATTTTACCCATTTTCCTGTTTGGTTGCTTGACGGTGTTTTTCTTCTTAAAACTTAGAAGCTCTCTTTGTAAGAATGACATTAGCTACTTATCTGTTATATAAATCATACAACTTTTTCCCAGATTTTGGATTTGGTTATGATTTTTTGCCATTTTCATTTTATCAAAGCAATTTTATAAATCAATTGTTTAAGGTAGAATCATTTTTGCTCTTCAGTTTAAATCTATACTTCTAAAGGCAGAGCAAACAGAGGAGCCCGCCCTAGCAGGGATGTATTTTAGCCTCTGGACCTGGCACTTTTTCAGCCAATCTCTGGTTTTATATTGTAGAACTGCAACCAGCCACGATGGTAGATACCTCCTTCTTCATTTCTTTCCCCATTTCAGTATTATATTGTATTTTTGTAGCTATTTTTATCAAGGCCTATGTAAACCAAATTTAATTTCAATTTTGAAAACCTTGAGTTATTTTCCCCCACACAATTGTCTATCAAATTACAGGGGAACATTTACAATTACTGCATTTATTTTTCTTTAGAGATGGATTCACTAAGGACAGAAACCTCAGCTGTCCCCTGAATTGTTTCCTATGGGTTTTAACCAATAAATATTTTAAAATGCTATAGTCAGAGAAAAAAATTTTCAATTACATTTTAAAGTATTACCTACTCAAATCCATTTGCTTTGATTGTTTAAATGATCTTATCTTTCTACCTAATGTCATAGTCTAGGGATGTCCATTGAGAGCAGTTCAAAAGAATCTTTCCATTTTAATATCTGGAAAGTTTATTTTTAAGCTCCAGCCCTTCTTACCGATTAACTTCCCTCTGCCCCGCTCTGAGGGCTCTGCCATAAGAGCAATGGATGTCATGATAACAGACAAGTACTAGAAGAGATGATATTGCTAAAGAAAAATTGTGATTACTGTAATAGAAGCTCCTTATCATATCTCTAGCATAGAATAGGCTCTCAGTAAATATTTCTGGTACAAAGGAAAGGAGGAATCCAGGAAAGGAGGGAAGGAATAAATATTTAAAAGAAGAAGAAAATTTTTAAAAATATGGATTTAGCTATGCTCAGTAATTCTGCAAAAATATTTAGAAATAATTTAGAGAAGTCATCCAAATATACTTATTAGGGCTACCATAATTAAAACACGTTATACTTACCAAGAACTCTTATTGCTAAAGTATAGATACCCAGGGCAAAAGACTTAAGTTGTGGTTTAATGCACCTAAAAACAATAAAAGCACTATTATTAAAAATACATAACCCATTTGGATGTGGATGGCAAGCTTTACTTTTTGCTTATCTTTCCTTATCCATTTTCATAACTATAACTGTAGGAAATATAAAATATAAACAATACTTTTGGTTAGCCACAGTCTATAAAAACTTGGTATTCATCCTTGGACATAAGAATTTATTTGAAAAATCACCCAATTCGAGTCACAAAAGAATAATTTCCAGCAAATTTTTTCTTTTATATTAATGATTTAATCAAAAATTATATTTTTAGATTATTTGGATCAACTGTAAATAGAAATATTTGAAAAATAAATTCAATTAGAAGAAAACATTGAGAATTTTGCTCATAAGACTAATATTTCAATTTTGAGTTCATATGCAATTTTTATAGAGCTATCTGATAAAATAATCAATAAATATATGTAAGCACAAATTATATTGGAATAGAATAAAATCTTACAGAATAAACAAAGATATATGCAAAAAATATGAAATGTTTTTGAGTGTTAAGATCTTTTCATATAAATTTTAATTAGTTCATGTTGATTAATCGTTGTTCTTTGGATGACATTAATTACATCTGAAAGAATAACCTAATTTAAAATGTATTTTCAAATGAAATTTTTATAAAATACTACAAAATTATTTAAATTTTTATAAAAATGTGTACCTGTTAATTAAAAAATATGTAATGTGGTACATCAGTTCAAAACATCTTTTAGGATTTTATATGCAAATATTTTTGAAGTTGGTAACATAATATTCATGAATGAGAATCCTCAAGTTATCCCCAAATATGACATTTCTCCAAGATAGTTTTAGTCACAAAAACAATAAACAGAAAAAGTAATAGTAAATACAAAATGAGTTCAAAACAAATATAAAACATGATATTGGATAAGCTTTAAAGTATCTCATGAACTGTACCTCCCATAATTTGATGAAACTATTTAATCTAAATCATAGCTTATCTGTATCACTTAATGTTGTTACCAACGCTAGCTATAACACATTATAGAATGAGACAGGTAAATAACAGTTCTCTAAGGGGTGGCGAACCTATGGCACACGTGCCAGAGCAGGCTGTTTGTATCATTGAAAGCTCTAAAAGGTTTGCCATCACTGCTTCTAGACCTACGGTTTCCAGATGTTTTTACTATGAAATTTTCTACTTTGGTTAAAATTTTCTATAAAAACCTAGAATGGGATGATTGCAAAAGTAAAACAAAGGAACAAATTCCCTGAAAAAACAAAACAAAACAAAACAAAACTATAGGCAATCATGATGATTCTACAGAGAAGAATTTGCAGATACAGCATGTAAAGATTGGCATGGGGAGAGGCGGTACTCACCTCAGAAGTAATATGTACCCAGGAATGCCTCCAAGGGACAAAGTATAGGATGTGATGGCTGAAATGACAAGGAAACACAGAAACACTTTGGAACATCCATTATCTTTTTGACATCTGCCCACCGTGCCTGAAAAATTTCCTGATTTAGAGGCTGCGATCCCAACACAGCTGCAGTTATAAAATACCTGCAACATGACAGAGAAAAGTCCAATTATTGAGATAACCTTTAAATCAAATTAAAGGTAAACATTTATTTAAAAATAACTTTATAGGACAGCAAACATGTATGATGTAAACATTGGGGAGCCCATTCCTTTATTTTTCTGCGTTAGAATTACATTGACCAAGGTGAAATCTATTTGTGTATTATTTCATTTTTCACACAGCAGCTGGTTATTTTATAAACTACAAAGCCTGCAGAACCATCTTCCCACAAATTCCATGAAACCTAGTCACACCTTGCCTCCTTCACCTACCAATGTTGACTCTAAGTCTCCATGATTTCTTGCTTTTATTGCAGTGGTCTCTTTGTGCTCAACTTGTTTCTACTCTCATCCAACTCCAGTAGGTTTTCTACATAGCAAAGTAAACAGTTTGTTTTTTTTTTTAAAACCAGTCAGATGGCACCAACACTGTCAGCTTCCTGATGGGTGCGTATTATGCATTTGTCCAAAAGCTCACATCTTTACAGTGGTTCACATACTCTCCATCATTTGCTCCTGGATCCTGCTCTGACCTTATTGCCCAATGATCCTCCCTCCCTTTCTCTGCTTCAGGCACACACACAACCCTTGAAAGTGTCGTGCTGCCTTTCATGTAGCCCAAGATGATCCTCCCCATACTTGGCAGGGGTATTTGTGGCCTTGTTGTCACCTCTGGGCAGCTCCTCCTCTAAATACCTATTTAGCTGGCACCCTCCTTTCAGGTTTCTGTTTGGAGGTTTTGTGAGAGAGAATTTCCATGACTAACCATGCAAAGCAGCACCCTCTCTCTCTCAGTTTCTCATCCTTTTTTTCCCCCCACAGTACCTATTACTATCAACCGTCATATGCATGTTTGTGTATTTTCAAAGTATATTTCTCCACTAGAAGATAACCTTCATGAAGGCACAAACTGTGTGCTTCGTCATCAATATACACGAAGGCCAAAACTTGTCCTTCATTTTAGCCATTCAGTAAAAATTTGTTAAATAAATGGGCTGATTTTGAGGCTATGACACAACTTATGTGGGCTCTTAAGGGGGAAAAAAAACAGGTGCATAAAAGTCAACTAAATCTCAACTAACAGAAAACAACTTTCAGAATCCTCCAAGTGTTTATTTCTATAAACTTCATTTATAAAATGAAACTCCATACTCTACATGCTGCTTTCATCACAGAAGAATGTGTGAAATTTTGGTTAAAGAATAAAATAAAGCTGGCACTTAAAAAAATAAAAGTAGCAATATAGATTTTTTTTTCTTTCTTGGAAGAGTCAGATCGAAAGCTTTTGAATCCTGACTCGGTGCACTTTCCATGTATGCGAGTGTCTCTCTCTCTTCTAGTTTCTTTTTCTCTCCGTATCTATCTCACATCCCTTCTACCTCAGTGTTTCAGTTCTAACATGAGAAAAATATGTAAAACAACAGTCAATTATGTGAGGTTCATGAGATTTAAATGCATTTTTAAAGGCATTTGTCTTGTCCCTGGGATGGAATGTCCTCAACAAACTGTTGCTAAGCAAAACCACCTTGCAGTTATAAGTGAAAAGCCTGGTGGGTTGAAAAGGAAAGAAAAAGAAGAAAGGAAGGCAGGAAGGAAGAAGAAAGAAGTATGGTGAAAACAATTCTGATTGGTGGATTGTCTTGCTCATGCTAGAGACGAATACTTTCTCCTCTGAATAAAATGTCAAAGTAATAAAACAAAAACAAAATCAACAAACATTACTTTGTATCTACACATGGCTTTGCCTAGGCATCTATACCTTGTTCATAAGTGTTTGCAAATACAGTGTGATCTAATTTTCAATCCTCCTGCTCCGTCAAATAAAGACGAATTCCATCAGTCACAAACAGGATGCAATCTGACACTAAGCACAAGGAAGACTTGCTGTGCGAGCCAGGAATGCAAAGGGTTAAAAAGGTGAATTTGTTAGTGACTGATGTTCATCATGTCGTGCACGATTGCTTTGTTATGAACTGAATATCTGTCCTAAATTCATATACTGCACTACTAAGCCCCAGTGTAATGGTATTTAGAGGTAAGACCTCCGGGAGAAAATTAGGCCAGGAGGCTGAAGCCCTCATGAATGACATTTACTGCATCTCCTTTTAAGACAAGACCTCTTGTTCTCCCTCCTATTCCCTGCCATAGGAGGATACAGAGAGAAGACAATGTCTAAAAAGAGTAAGCTAAGTTCTGCTGATTCTGATGCCTGGCCCTTTAAGTTTGAAATTCTGGCCTCCAGAACCGTGACAGGTAAGTGCCGTTAAGCCACTCAGTCTATGGTGTATTTATGACAGCAGCCTAGACCACCGAAACAGCTTCCTACTTAGATTTCTAACCTCCCACTTCCACCTTATAGAAACCTCCATTCCAGTCTACCTACCTTTCATTAGCACACAAATGGGCTGGATTTCTTGACTAGGGCTGCCCCAGAACCCTCAGCTTCATCATATAAGCAGATCACTGACTCCTGTGCTACGCCTCTGGGTCTAGACTTCCTAATACTGGCTTATATTTGTCTTGCCCTTAAATGTTCAATGACCACTTCCTTATTCAGGGCTAATATTTCTTATCAGCAAAGCAACCAAAATATCTACATAATTGCAAAAGCTGCTATATTCTTCTCAACTTATTCGTACCCTAGTCCTTTCAGCTCTAGCTCCCTAGAAATGATTTCAAATTCCCTGCTTCCACACAAGAAGACAAAGAGGGTAAGACCCGAGGCTCCTGCCAGCGGGTCTACTGCTGAGTCCCCCTACAGTGGCACCGTTCTATATGGTAACAGACTCACGGGCAAATACTTTGGGGATTGAGTTTCCTTACAATGTTCTCTCCACTCATGTTGGAGGTTTGACAACCAGCAAAACAAGCTGATGCATATGTAATCCCATTTTCTCCACACATCGGCTCCCACTTCGTCTCTGAACATTTACATCTTGCATTGCAATCTGAAAAGAGAGCTCGCTCATGATAAGAGACAGGTTTGGTTCTGAAACGAAATGTAACGGTATAAAGTATTACCTCTCAGCAGGGAGTACACTTATACTTTCAAAAATCAATGTTTCTGAGTGATGTAAGTGATGCTGCCAACCCAACTGGCCTGTTGGAAACACAGTTATCATCAGAAATGCCAGGGCCTGCCAGTTAAATGTAAGTCGCTTACTCAACAGCTGTACTTTCAAAATTATCTTTACACAGTGCTCCTTTCTTAGCCTGTAGTTTTTGCTAAAGTCTGCTACCTCTAGGATCCAGGAACATGGTCTATGCACACAGCTACAAGGTAGAAAAAGAAGCTTTTAGAGCAATTTGTGATGTTATTTCAATGAATTGCAGGCAATATGTGTTTATGTGTGCATATGTGAGAATTTCTTTATCTTTACATCAGTCGAGTGAACATGTAATGAAAGAAAAATAGAACTGAGGAGTTCCCATTAACTCATCCTTTCCACATTTGTAGGAATTATACACCCTAATTGCACATTCTTATTAATAATCATTTTCAGATTATCTGTCCCTTCCCCTGTATGTGTTCTCATTGTACGGAGCCCTCCCATGTCTATTATCCTTGGTTCCTAAATTTCACATTATTTGTTGAATGATTTGTTAATTCATAAAGTTTTATTAGAAACCTTCTAAGTTCTCCCTTTGGGAGGATGGAAGATGGTTATAAATAGGAATGAAACAATGTTTTCCCTCAAAGTGTTGGCTCTTTTCAGTGTTATGTTATTTTGCATAACATTGTTTTCTCCATGTCCTCCCTCTCCCCTCCCTCCCCCCCC